GACTTTTTATTCATATTTGAACCTTGCTTCTTATTCAGATCTTGAGCCCATTTCGGCTTCCCATGAAGATCCCAGCATGTGTCTCGGGTGTGTTGAGGTTTCTGCCAATGAATACACCACAATTTGTCATTGTCATCCATCTTTTTCTGAAGATCCCCCTTCTTAGAAGTATTTCCCCGTAACACTCCCTTTCGCTGCCAGCACAACTGCATCTCCTCCATAACTGTTCATCAAATTCCTTCTGCTTTCTTCTGATTGTACAAGAGCATAAACTTCCTGAACTGATGGAAGATCCTTGCTACGTAGGATTTGGACTCTGATAGATTCATATGTAGGGTTCAAACCATGTAAGAAAGCAAACACTCTCTGCTGGGAGATGAGTTTTTTGTACAGTTTTGCATCTTCATCACACTTCCAGTCCACACTCTGATAATGATCTAACTCCTTCAGACAGAGGTCAAGTCTGAGTAGTACACAGATAGACACCTCTCCCCCTGTTTACAAGTAGACGATTCTGCCTGTAGCTGGTAGATTTTTGCATAGTGTCGCAGTTCCRAATATGTTGATTTTGCTTGTTCCCACATCTCATCTGCCGTTTCAGCCCACATGAAATTCCTTCTTATTTGAGGTTGCATAGAAACTAAAAGCCAAGACATGACCATGCTGTTTTCCTGGTTCCATCTGTCATATTCAGCACTCCCAGAATGTGGTTYTTTGATTCTCCCATTAATATAACCTATCTTTCCCCTTGCAGTGRTGTACARCTTGATCCCTCTTGACCACTCTAAATAATTTAAACCATCAAGAGGAATAACAGCCATGGGAAAGGATAGGTCCACACCCCCACTCATTCCATTCAGCATTGAGGAAACACCGGATGTAGCAGAATCTTCACCACTCATGATTTCAGAGTCAAAAAGAACTCTTAAATGGGGTACATAGCCTTAAAGAAATTCAACACTGAGGAGGAACGAAAAAAAAAAATTTCTTTAGAAACACACCTCCTTTCGAAAAAACACAAGTGCTGTTACAGCACTAACAGGTCATCCCTTTGACTTACAAGTTCAACACAAGTGTCGCCACAGTGCATACAGGTCATCTCTTGACCTATGCATCAATAGGACTGCTGTTACAGCAAGTACTGGTCACTTTCTGACCTTCAGTTCACCATAAAAGCTGCTGTTGCAGCACACAAGAGGTACTAGTCACTTTCTGACCCACAGTTCACCATAAAAGCTGCTGTTGCAGCACACAAGAGGTACTGGTCACTTTCTGACCCACAGTTCACCATAAAAGCTGCTGTTGCAGCACACAAAAAAGGTCCTCACGACCTACAGTTTCACAGGGATCAGTCGACCCCACAAAAAAGGAAAGAAATAGGTGCTGATCACCTCACATCCAATCGGCAGACCTAGTACAGGTTCTGCCCTAGCACACGACCAGAAAAAAAAGGTAAGAGAGAGAGAGAAAAGTTACTTCAGTGTGTGAGATCTTCAATCAGCCGAACAGCAGATGAGAGCGGCAGATCTGGAAATCTGGTGCGAAGAAGAAAAAAAACTGTTCACTCAACTTCTCCTTTCAGATCTGATAGTCCCGCTCTGATACCATGTTATGCAGGAGAGAAGAATGGAAGAAGAAAGAAGAGAGAGAGAGAAGAAGAGAGAAGAGAGAACTGAGAGCAAAAAGATACTACTGGCGGTGCAGCTTTTTTAATATACTAGGGCGACAGCAACTAAAATAAAAAGGAGTAAAAGTACAATAGTACCCCTGCGGTACTATACATAGGAAAAAATAACAGCTGTTAATGCTGTTAACAAATACCTCTTTACTCAGGCTTGGCATTTGATGTTGATAGTTTTTCCATTTTCCTTCAATAAATATAGGTTTGTCCAATACTTGGGAATACAACAAAAGAACTCTGATCATGATATGTTTTTTTATCAACCGATGAAGCACTGCCTTTCTAGCCTAGTACATCAGCAGTTAAGGCTCTAATTTGTCTTTGATGGACTTGTACTCTGCAGTTTGGGCGGATGCTGATACATGGTTTGAACGTCAACAACAAGAGGAAGAAATGCAGCGCTTACAGGCAGAAAACCGGGCTGCAATGCAAGCCGCAGAGGAGATGCATAGGAAGAATTTAGCTCAGGAGCGAGAGGGTGAAAAGGAAGAAGAAACCGAGGCCAAGGACGATCCCATGGCGATGGCAGAAGCAGAAGTTTTGAAACAGAATACCAGTGCTTAGAAGCTGAACAGATCAGTTATAGGGGTATGGGCTACTACCGGAGTTGGGATTTTCTTTTCTATCTGCTTCCTCTACAATTCAAACTAGCTTCATGTTGAAATTGTACACTATCATGAATTCATGATCAATCAATAGTTTGGTTTGCTTCTGGAGAACATCCACTCAAGCAAGGGAAACATAAGAAGATAATGAAATGTGTTTTAAACTTTTTGCAAAATTGAATAGGTTATTTCAGCATGGTGGTTCTGTTGTTTGTCTAAGGCCATGTACTGGGATTAGCTAACCCTTATAATCCAATTTCTAAGTTTAAAATGTAATAGATTGAAAGTTAATTGGAAATCAAGAACATATGTGTGATACCATTCACACATCAAGAGCTTCAGCATTTTTCTCTTGACATTGACTTCTAAGGTGACCATGTTAAGCTACTGTTTCACACCTCTATTCACCTAAGGACTGTGTCTCAAATTTTACTTCCACAAGTTTCCACTGGAACCATTTTGCAAAAACTTGTATTCATAAATATTGCAGGTTTCCCCTTTTTTATTTTCTAATTGGTGATGGAGACATGATAGTACACTTCAAATTTGTTTTGTTATTTATGCTTGTATTCTAGATAATGGACCCTTACCATTATCTATTATGATCATATGTATCATGTACTGGGGCTTTCATTTTTGAGCCTCTCCATTACCAAGGGAAATTCTTTCCTAAAATATGTTGGGACCAAAATATAAGTGTGTATATGTTGCACAAGTGGTGGTATCTATATTTAAGCTAGGCCTTTAACCACATGTAAGCATGCTTAATCATACTGAGAAGAAATGCAATTCCAGTTATCTAGTATTGTAAGCCACAATAGAAAAGTCATTTACTACATCAAGGGGACTCGTGACAAGTAGAAGAAGCCTTCAAGCCTTGTTATAAGACCAGACTTTTTGCCTTTTTGGAGTTCAATTGGACCATGGGTTTGGAGAGGATCTTTGTAATGCCACCTATTCACCACTAATTGCTCCGAAAAATCCTGTCCTGACAAGATTACTGTGAGTGAATTATTGAATTTCACCTTTAGATGCTCATATACTGTTTTATTCCATGATAATCATCATTATCTTCCCTGATTCTGTCAGATCTAGCTGCCTATCAAACTGCTAAAGAAGTTGTCATTTTTAGCTTATGCTTTTCTATTTTTAAGTTCAAAGCCCATTGCTTGGTGCAATAGTTAAATCTCTGGCTGACATGCATGAGAACATGGATTCAAGTCTGAGAGCAGCCACTTAGTGCAAGAAAATGACAAAAGTTGCACTTAATCCACCCCTACCAAGGCCTTGGACAGCCGGGTCCAGCAATAGGTAACGTTCCTTTTATTTGCATAAGTCTATGTCTTCAGATATTATGTTTCTCATGCATTACCTTGTGATACTTAAAAAAAAACCTGGTGATTCTTTCCTTCAAAAAGGCAAATGGAAGACTTCCTGCAAAATCTCCAAATGTTCATTTTATCTCAACGAAAAACCCAAGCCAATATTTGCTCTGGCTCCAAATGCTTTGTTTGCCCTACTGTTTAATTCTTCCATCATCTGCCAAAGGATCAGAGAAGTCTCTCTCAGATATACCCCTAGCAGACTTGCAGAGAAAGGGGTTGCTAACCATATTCGGTTGTCCCTAAATGTCGCTGCAAGTAGTTGTGAAAACAAAGCTGTGTTTGAAAGAACCCACTGGAAAATCAGAATCATCAAACAGATTTAGAACCTTTCCCATCATTAACACCAAGTTATTTAGATTTCTCACTTGTCATTCCCAGCATTATCATGCTTTCTACCAGCCTTCTTAGTACTAGAACAAAGCAGATTGACCTACCAGGTCCTGTTTGTTTCTTTCTCTACTTAGTTTATTGTGTATATGGTAGCCAGCCTACGAGTTAGACTACTGAACAACAAGGTTACAGGAAGAGGAAAATCAGGCAGGGGAGTTAATAATTGGATTTTGCAGTAAGGTTTCTATTGTCTGCTAAGGTGAAGATATCTGCATTGTTGCAGATCCCGAAATAGATTTTTTGCTGTCTTCCAAGGGAAGCAAGTCCTTGTTGCTTGGTGATGATTTCTTCTTCAAGCAAAACTCAAGGAAGAGAGCACAAGATTTTTGATTGATCTGAGCACAAGGTAGATCTCACAGCTTTTATACCTTAAAAAACCTGACATTGCGATTGCATGGTCTGAAACTTTGACTCAAGAAAATTCCAAATGTAGGATGTCTAAAGCTTTGAAGGGTTCATATTTTTGTACTTCCACTTCTATGACTTTATTCTAATGGAGGATGGAATTCATGAGAAACTACTCTATGTTTGATGTCTTTTTTTCTTCAAACAAAACAGAAATGCAAATGATTTCAGTATAATTGATCTCATAAGAACTAAGAAGATAGTTTCCTCCTTTTGTCTTTTTTTTTTTTTTCTTTTTTCTGAAATCCTGGTTCGGTCTGCAGCATCAGTGCTGGTTTTGATCCGAACAGTTGCCTCGGAATTCATCATGCCTGCCTACCCTTTGATATGCTCATAAAGAGGAACCCCAAAGTTTGAATATGGGTTCAAGAAAGTGTATGGTCAGAATCTTATCTACTCTAGTATATTATTTTCCTGATTCTGGGAATTTCATTAGTGTCAATGGACTGCATTTCATTATAAAAAGGATATCACCCAATATTGGTCCCAGCTATCTGGGGTCTTGAGACTTCAGAGGGGTACAATGGATGTGATATGATCCTAACCTGTGGCATTTTTTTTACACGTCTGCATTCGTATTTCTGGATGCTGTAATAAAGTAATAACCATTTTTTTTTCTTAAGCCGGATGTTGTAATAACTATTTCTTGTAAACATGACTGCTACAATTATAGCTGGGACTCACAACTGCTAGGTCCAACATTGACTGCCCAACAATTATAGGACAGATTAGTACACCAACTACAAACCAGTCACGGTCACATGGTGTTGAAACAAACAGGACGTCTATTGCTTAGTTTCTAATTTTAGTCTGTCGCAAGCTTCTCCTTCGACTTTTGTTATAGCAGATTTGGGAACCTTTGGCATTTCCGTTCATGCACAATGTGGTCGCTCTCAAATTCCAACCTGTGTTTTTACGCATATCATTCCAAGAATTTTCTATTACCGTATAAAGCGAGTACCCTTCTTTTGTGAAGGTTTCAAGAAAAGAAAAAAAAGGAAAGAACTAGATAGAGTGGACTGCTCAATCTTTCCCTTTCCACTCTCATGCCCTCCCTTTTAATGTAATTTGGTATATCAATTGATGAATGTGGACATCTTGGTAGACTTAAATCATAGTTACTTAATTTTATAGTAGACTACTTTCTTTGCTCATCATCAATGAAAGCCTTCACCGTCCACGTAATTAAAACCTAGAAATAAATCCAAGCAGGTTTGAAGTCACAGCGCAACTGGTTTATCAGACCCATTCACATTTGTCGGTGAAAACCATGAATTTGATTTGTTACCAGAAAGTAATATTGATCAACTAAGGCAGCCCTCATATTCTTCTTCTCCCACCTCCTTCCCATCACCCCAATTGGTGGGATTGCAAAATGCTGGGGGGAATCATTGGCCACACTCCATCAGATTCAGTCATGAATGATTTTTTTTTTTTTAAAGCACACCATGCCTTCGAATTCTGTTTTTCTTATAGAAAGTTCACTCAGTATAAGAGCTTGTAACCAAAAAAAATACAGAAAAGTATTTGAGTGGGTGGCAGAGACAGAGTGGCCAAAGCTCCCAAAAAGAAGAGGGCATTTGAGAAGTTGTTTTGTTGAAGCATTCAGGTCTCCGCATGCAGTTGGCGAGTCTTAATCAGAGGGGGAGTGACCACCTGCTCCAACTGCCGATTAACCCCCCTACCTCAGAATAAAGAGACCTTTGATGAATGCCTGCAATCCCTCTTTCAAATCATAAAACTGAATTGCCAATAATGATCCTAAGGTTCCTTTCAATGGAAAGCTTCTCTTATGGCTGATTGACCAAATGGGCACTGTATCCAACTATATCCGTTTGTTTGGTCTGTTTCTGGGTTACGGTTTATTAATCTTCTCCGCGGTCTGTGCCTCAGACTAGTGATGATTGATAACCGATGAGATCATGACCTTCCAATTATTTTTCTGGTTTTCTTTTTCTTTTCTTTTCTTTTCCTGGTAAGATACGATCTTCATCTTCCTATTCAATGAAATAGAAAATAGAAGGGGCATTCAGTCATTTTCTACTGATGGGTTGGTAGTAAATCTATATAAACTTCTCCTAAACAAGATGTTGACCGTGTGATCTTTGGTTTGAATATCTTGAAATCTCCCGCGTGATTGTCTTCTTTGCTGACCACGATCGTTGCTTAAAGAAATGGGAACTAAAATAAGAAGGAAAATAGAAAATTAACAAACAATAACAGATGAATTTATCACACCATGTACCTACCATTAGGTAAGCTATCTCCCATCTCCAGGTAATTTTTTTGAGTTCAATTCTTCCTTCCCTTAAATATAGAAAGACCCATTGACACTCTTGATACAGTCTGCTTAAATTGTCACCAGAACGCTTCTGGGATCCCAGTGAAGTTCAGGCAAACCTAACCTGGGAAAATTTCAGCATGGGATCCAACAGGCCTGCAGATCATCACCAACAATGTAGAAGCTACACTGTTGTGAAATTTAAGTTCATTATAGTGTCTTTCTTCTTTGTAATGATGTTCTCCTCTTCAGGTAAAGGTTTTAGTAGTGAAGTTGGAAATTTAAGCTTGCATGGCGATCCAATTCCAACTTTCCTCTGGTTTATTTATTTATTTTTCTTGCTTTTACTCCTTGAATGCAGCTGCGTTTGATCCCTTGGATCCCAATGGGAACATAACAATCAAATGGGATGTGATGTCCTGGACCCCAGATGGCTATGTCGTGAGTATCATCTCCAATTTGATAGTTTTGTTTTGCAGTTTCTTTGTGACAAGTTTTTCCTAGTTTCAATTCTAAATTCAAAATTTTTGGGGGTGTTCACCGTTGTGAATTGTTTTTCTTGTTGGAAGTTCCAAAAACAAAGCAAAACCAGCTGGTTTGAAAACAAGTTGGTTCTTAGAACAAAAACATAGAAAACATGTTGTTGGTTATATGTGTTTTTTATCTTCAAAACTTAAACAAAAAAATGTTGTTGAATTTCTAGTTTAGAGAATATGTTTTCATGTGGTTATTTAATATCATGTTCCATAAAATATATAATTTCTATACTACACAAATTGTTTTTGTTAAAAAAAAACATGTATTGTTTTTTTGGAAATAAAACCAACTTGTTTTTCCTTTTGAAAACAAAAACACCATTCAAGAACATGTTTTTGTTTTCTTTGCTGATGTGGTAATTTCAAAAACAAATGAAAACAAAAACGTTCATGTTGTGGAACGCTCCATCAGGAACCCAACATAGATTAAATTTCAAATAACCAATTGCAGATCCATGAGGCAGCCCTAAAAACGATGTGACTCTACTGTTCTTTAGACTTTATTGAAACATAATTTTTTTTTGTTCATAAAAGAAAATATAAATTCAATACCAGAGATTATAAGTTCACAATAAATCAAACATGAGATAATGATATCAATGTCTTCTTGATCCATCTTCCAGGCAGCGGTGACGATGAGCAATTTCCAATTGTATCGGCACATCATCAGTCCAGGCTGGACCTTGGGATGGACATGGGCTAAAAAAGAAGTGATATGGTCCATGGTGGGAGCCCAAACTACTGAGCAAGGAGACTGTTCCAAGTTCAAGGGGAACGTTCCACATTGTTGCAAGAAGACCCCAACAGTTGTTGATTTACTTCCTGGTGTCCCTTACAATCAACAATTTTCCAATTGCTGCAAAGGTGGGGTGGTGGCTGCTTGGGGACAGGACCCTACAGCATCAGTCTCAGCCTTCCAGGTCAGTGTTGGGCTGGCTGGTACTTCAAACAAGACAGTGAAACTTCCCAAGAACTTCACTTTGCTAGGTCCAGGACCTGGGTACACTTGTGGCCCGGCGAAAATCGTGCCATCGACAACCTTCTTTACACCTGACCGGAGGCGGAAAACTCAGGCACTGAGTAAGTCCATCCATACTCAAGATATAGTTTGGTATTAAGTTCTTCAATGAAACCAAGTTCAAAACAGATCACATTAGCTCATATAGTACAGAAGAATAGCTCAGTCCTGTAACAAATCCTTACCTTGCTGTTCTTTAATTTGCAGTGACATGGAATGTGACATGCACTTATTCACAGTTTCTGGCCCGAAAGAACCCAAGCTGTTGTGTCTCCTTCTCTTCATTCTATAATAATACCATCACTCCGTGTCCCTCCTGCGCTTGTGGTTGCCAAAGCAAGAATAACTGTATCAAGTAATCCTCCAACTCAAACTATACAGATCGATATATCATGAATTGAAAAGCATGTGTCTGTTGTTATTTGAACGTCAAAGAAGAGTACCTAACCCTGCAGGATTGTGAGTGTTATTGCAGAAGTGACTCAAAGCTGCTAAATGTACTGGGAATCAATACACCAAGGAAGGATAATGCACCATTGTTGCAATGCACACACCATATGTGCCCGATCCGAGTGCACTGGCATGTGAAGCTCAACTACAAGGACTATTGGCGTGTGAAGATCGCCATCACAAATTTCAACTATCGGATGAACTATACACAGTGGACGCTCGTTGCTCAGCACCCAAATCTCAATAATGTTACCCAAGTATTTAGCTTTGATTACAAGCCTCTTGTCCCTTACCAATCCATAAGTGAGTGCACACAACCTCTCAAACACTGTCTTTCCATTTCTATATGCTCACAATCAAGCACATTCACCATTTTTGGAAAGCTACTTCTTTGCTAGCTCTGTAAAAGAAAACACGCTTTCTTCCGAACAAAAGTTTTCAATAGTCCTTAACCCTTCCTATTCCCATGCCAATACTAGGGTCTGCACCTGGACAAGAGCATCCAGAAATAACCAATCTGCATTGAGTCACCAGGCTTGGAACTTTTTGGATGACTAAAATACCATTTTGCTTCTTTCATTTCATGGTCTATAAATTTTGTCTCAACAGAGTTCAAACGAACATTACATCTGTTGTGGAGAGAGGGTTTCATAGCAATGCGCAGAATAATTCAAAATTATGCTTTCTGTTTTCTTGTTTGTCTGTTTTCAGAGACTATTTATGACATTGAAAAATTCTAATTCATTTGCTGCAATTGCACATACAGATGACACTGGCATGTTTTACGGCATGAAATTCTATAATGACCTACTAATGGAGGCAGGCCCACTTGGAAATGTCCAGTCGGAAATTCTGCTTCAGAAAAACAAGGAGACCTTCACTCTCAAGCAAGGTTGGGCATTTCCTCGGAGAGTCTACTTCAACGGTGATGAGTGCATGCTACCCCCACCAGACGCATACCCATTCCTACCAAATTCTGCCTTTACAAACTCAGCTTCATTCTCAATTTTAATTGCTTCTCTACTCCTCTTGATGACTGTCTGGTGAATCCCTTGGATGTTGGAATGAAGCAAAAGGCAGTTTTCAGAAGTTTTGGAAGGAGAAAAAGCAATTTTTTTTGAACATATGGCTATCTTTCACATATTGGTTACTGAAATACAGGTATGTAAATGAAACGCCAAAATTGTTTTGTTTGAATCAGAAAAATGAAAGCTGGATGTGAATCAGCTCTGTAAGACGTCTTTTGTAAGATACATGAGCTTATTAAATTGAGAAACTAGACCAAATTTTCTATATAACGAAGAATGTTCTGAAGGTTGACCATACTGCACGGCTATGGAGTACTTAGTTTCTCATCCCTGCAGAAACATGATCCTTTAACAAATGGTTGCTGGATGCTTTGACATTAAGGCTCCGTTTCAACAAAGAAAAGGGTGAAAGCGGATTTCAAACTGAAATATTTCGGCCATATGTTCTTTTTTCTTTTCTTTTTTTTTTTTTTCTGTTCCACAGTGAAAACTTTGTTTCATGTCCCTTTTTCATTGATAGATATCAATTTGTTCAAGACGGATATCAAGAATAAAGGTCAGTAACTGGGTTTGTTTCTGTCTGATACAAATTATAAAGCATCTAAGAGACATAGAACATGCATGCAAAGATTCTATTGTAGCTATTCTTCCCTCTCCATCTCCATGGCTCTTCATTATTTCATGGCCGTTTTAGTTTTATGCTATAACGTAGCTGGCAGCTCACTTCAATTAAATGATTGACATAATAACCATGCGTCATGCGTGATTAGGAATTTAAGAAGTCCACTTTGTAGTTTGTAATGTATGGTAGATTTTAAGGATGCCCTTACTAAGATCTTATTGAAGAACAAATAAGATGTCAAAACCATTAAAAGTAAAATTTAAAGTTAGACCATAGGGGATTATTAGTGCAAGTAACCTTTTTTTTTCATCTTCATGCAGACATGCTCAACTAAATTAAAGTTACTTCTGTGATTTAGTTTCGGTTAAACAAAACAGAATTACATGAGAAGATGAAAGTTTGATTAACAACTCCAAGATCAAATCCATATATTATCTGTGGTTTCACTTCAAAATGTTTTCATTACAATGGAAGGAGCAACACTTTTACATGGTATCCCTACAAACAAGATGGTTAATTTATATGTATAATCAGAAAATATACTTATATACCAGGTAAAATGTAAACAAAAATGGTAGTGAATTCAACTCGCCATTACACAACACAGAAGATGCGATTTTTGTCATTGTGGGTTGCCATGCACCTGAATCCACTTATATTGCTGGAATCCAAGGCTCCAGCAGAGGTTAGTTCACCACAGGCTTTGAGTAGTATGATCCAGTTGTAAATATTGGAATGACCCATAAATTGAAATATGTTCCCCTATGCTTCACTTGGTCCTAACCCAACAAGAACACCAAAGATGCAAAGAAAGTCATGATTGGACCAACTAACGAGGCAACAGATCGGGAGCTAGCATTTGGCAACCATGGATAGGCATCAGGTGGTGGCATGACACAGTTGTCACCATTGAAGTAGATCCGTCGAGGGAAAGCCCATCCCTTCTCAAAAGTAAATGTTGATTTATCCTTCCTGAAAAGTAACTCTGACTGGACATTCCCTAGAGGGCCAGCTTGCATGAGTAAATCATTGTAGAATTTAACTCCCCATAACATTGCAGTATCATCTGCGAAACCAAATTCCAATTCCAAAATGATTCAGTCAACTAAATGTTTCAAAGCCACACACACACACATCTAGAAGTATTTGGTACCATATTTGATATGATACCAGTACGCTAGGCATGAACAGGTACCAGGTATAATAGCCACAACCACAGAAAGTAACGAAAACCAGACCTAACATTTGATTGATGACATTTTTACACAACCAAGTGGATAAGAGCATAGGAAAAAGTTCATTTGGTTTTCTTTTTTCTTTAGTTTGGTCAGGAAAGTGTTCGTTCATCAATTAGGTTTATTTGGTTTGGTCTAGTACCATCAAGGGGTCAGGTCAGGTCTAGATCAAGGTAGACATAACCTGGTCCCAAACCAATAAATAAATGTGCAGAACCTGTCCCAGATCAATTATCAATCAGGACTAGGGTCTGACCTGATAATACCCGATCATATTTGACAGCTATACTTCAACCTGTAACTTAACAGTACATCTACTCATTTGTTAAATTGATACATTTGGACACGATAACGTGACAATACCACAAGTATATCATGATAGGTATTAGATTGGGGGTATCTTTGTAATATGCTATATATATATAGTTTGTTTCAGTCTTAACAGGTTCAGAACAACCAAAACCGATCCCAACCCAATTGTAATCGGGGCACATGAAGCAGACTGAGACCCTATATAATGGGTTGGTTAGGTTCTGTTGGTCTTCCTGACCCATTAACAGCCCTAGATATCTCCTAAATTTGGGACAACCAATTTGATGGTCCAGACCACCTCAACATATGCAATATATCTTAAATGCCCTGTAATATCAGGTTAGGATATTAGATCATCATTCACCTCTTCCATTCATAAAGTAAAACAGGAAGAGAACTTGTTAACTAAAGACACAACTTACTTATGGCAGCATAAGGAGTTAATGACTTGTAATTGAAGCTGAAAATCTGGGTGAGATTGTCAAAGTTGGGGTGTTGAACAACCAAGTTCCACTCTGTGTAGTTCATCCTGTAATTGAAATTTGTGATTGTGATCTTGACTCTCCAGTACTCTTTGTAGTTGAGTTTAACATGCCAGTGGACCCGGATTGGGCACATATGGTTAGTACACTGGACAAGAGGTGTATAGCTATTTTTGCTTGAGCTTGAAAGAGCTGAAGCTAAATACGGCGAGTCTCCCCTGTAAGCCAAAAGAAAAAAAAAAAAAGAGTATGAAATCAAACATAATACATTGTCTCCACACTGGAAGATAATTTTATGGAGAAAAAACAATGAAGGCATGATATTTTGAAGAAAAAAGATGAACAACAAAACTTACTCTACACAACTTCCTGGCTGAGTTATATTGTTTTGGCAGCCACAGGTACATGTTGGGCAGGGGACTATTGTATCATTATAGAAGGAAGAGAGAGAGACACAGCAGGTCGGTGTCTTCTGAGACAGGAATTGAGAGTACGTGCAGGTAACGTTCCATGTCACTGAAAAAAGGGAGACATATAAGTTACAAGACATTTTTTTCCTTTACTTTTTCTCTTCTAATGATAAATGATACCAACAATCAAGAGAGCCCTGTATGAGTATAGCATGAGCTCAGTTGCAACGGAACCATGAAAACTATTTTGACCTATTTGTGTATGAAAGCTAATGACAAATAAAGTGGTTTTTCTCACATAAAGCCTTCTATGCTTCTTATTAGAATTACTATTAAGAAACGGTAATATTTCATTAATGATAGTTTTATTATTGGATAAAGCAAAAACATACTATGGTGCTTATTCCATCTCATCATGATGCATGGAAGCATCAATTCATAAAGAAACCATGTTATGATCAGATTTCCTGAAAGAAACAATGATCTTCAAATTATCTTACTCATTGCTTGAGTGACCCTCCTTTTGTCTGCTGATATAAATTTAGTTGGTTTAACAATCTTCGCAGGCCCACATGTATACCCAGGTCCAGGTGCTTTTAGTGTGAAGTTCTTTGGAACTCTAACTGTTTTGTTAGTGGTCCCCGCTGCACCCACACTAAGCTGGAATGAGCTTGCTGCATTGGCTGGATCCTGGACCCATGAATTGATTACTCCTCCTTTGCAGCAATTTGCAATCTGCTGGTTGTAGGGGGTTCCTGGCAATAAATCCACAACTGTTGGATCTTTCTTGCAGCAATGTGGAATATTTCCTTTGAATCTTGAGCAATCCCCTTGCTCTGTGGTTTGGCCTCCCATCATGCTCCATATTACTTCCTTCTTTGCCCATGTCCATCCCAGTGTCCACCCTGGTGCCTGAATGTGACGATATTGTTGGAAATTGAAGATTGTAACAACAGCCTGCCCAACTCCAAACAGAAGATGAATGATAATTTAGATGGAGGCAGATAAGCTTCCAAAATATTTAACAATATGTGACAGAAGCGGTGAAGTAATAGATGGAAAGTGGAACTGAAAAAGAATTCTTTTACCAATAATGATATGAACAGAGATAACCTAGGCAATAGAAAATACCCACTTTTGAAATGTGTAGCTTAAGTATATTCATGTACTTGTGTCAAATAAGCTAGGAGAAAAAGGGAAATTTTTCTAGAAGTGTCCTTTAAGAATTCATTACGCGTTGGAATCCTATGTGTGTCCACATAGAAACTCCATCCATTTAGGAAAAGTCCATGCAACACTGACATTGATACATATATCAGTGTCCCTCTAATATAGACTTCTTTGCACATGCAGGGCATGATATACTTTGTGATATGAATTTAAGTGTACAGTATGAATTCACAGTAAATTACACACACCCAAAGAGATTTTCTAAGCTCCACCATAAGGCCATATGTACTTTACAAAAATCCTTGATATACTTACAACATAGCCATCTGGAGTCCAGCTTATAATGTCCCATTTGATTGTGATATTCCCATTTGGATCAAGCGGATCATAGGCTTCTGGAAAAAACAAAGCAATATTTGATTTTAGACCCTTTTTTGAGAAGAGGCAAAGTATAGTATTTCACTCAAAATAAGAAAACCCTTGTACAATAAGTGTCTGTACAAGGGGAAATTACAAAAAATCTCCCCCAGTTTCTATAACAGCACATATCCCTGATTGTTTACAAAGAGAGAATCATATACAAAAAATTAACTATAACTACTTCCTTTGTAATATTTACGAACTGCCAACCATGATTACATTTTCGGTATAATTGATTTTAGATCCTTAATTGCCAAGAAAGCCAAAATTCTAGTATCTTATAAAAGAATTGTAGCTCCTGAAAGCCCCAAGTTCCCCTCCCCATAATAGGGTTCCCATATTTTCTTTTGGAAGAAATAGGGAGCACCAAAAACATCTAAATCAGATCACTATGTAATAATTTAATTTGTGTATCCTCTGGACAACGTATAGTTTCTTCTCTTTTTTCCTTTCATGACAATATGAAACATAATTCAGAAGACGAAATAAAGTGCATTCCACAAGTAGTGCACGTCTGGAATCTGCATTTGTGTAAGGGGACATCTGAGATAATCTGATGTCCCAGCATTGAACAACACCTGCTGCGGCCCCCTATGAATCCTTTCCCTCATAAACCAAATGACATGTTTCTCTAAAGAAGAAAATTTGAAAATATCATACTACTATTTTTCTTCCCTTTTTCCATATCCAATTTATAAGAGACAACAAGAGGTCAAGAAGCCTGATTAGGGATGGCAATTCTGTCAGAATTTTTGGATACCTGACCCATCCCAACCCTAATAGGACCCATTATCAAAACCCTATAGGGTTTGGGACAAGTTTTGGATTTTAGATTAAAACCCTATAGGGTTTGGGCTTTGTGCTTAAGATACCCACTATCATTACTTGATTATAAACCCATGTATATATTATTATTTATTAAGTATAGGGAAATCTATGATGCTGGAAACATGATACTTGAAGAGCTTTGACCAATCAACCCCCCCCCCCCGCGTATGTGCTTCATTACCACTTTTATGATACTAGTTGATTGGTTATAAGTTCTTCTGGTATCAGAGTCAAACCCTAATAAATATATTTTATATGTTTTATAAGAAATAACGTATATAGTAAAAAGGATTAAGAGAGAATCAAATCCTTCCGGTTGTGTCCCATTATAGGCGTCTTGGCCACTAGCTTACCATACCACATTTTTGCTTAATAGGGACATCACATTTCACTTATGTGATGATGGTGGATGGGACAGATTTAACGGGCTTGGGATGGGACGGGGTTTGGGAACTTGGGAGAAAAAATTAAAAGGGGTTTGGGATCAAGGATGCTTAGGCGGGTTTGGGAATGGAAAGGCAATTTTCGCAGTACCCAAGCCTGATAATCTATCTGAATCTTACCCATTAGAAGATTCTATCATTTATGCATAGTCCAGACGGCGGGCTCTCGGGGAGTCTGGAGATATTGGTAGATAGAAATCTCAAAACACAAATAAATAAACCCAAGCTATAACGGAAAAAATGAATAGATAAGTGAGTTATTTTATTAGCATAACAAGCAAACATGATAACAGTCCAGTATCATAGACAAGAAAAACAGAGGATAAAATTTATAATTTAATTCCAGCAACCTGATAGTCGCAACTCGTACATGAATAATGATGAAATAAAAATTTCCTCTCACCCCCCCCCGGGCTTTCTATAAGACTAGAACTCGCTAAATTCATAAAGAAAGGCCCCATCGTCTTCATGAAAAAACATATTAAGAAAACGAAGAAAACAATCCAAGAAGGAAAAAAGGGCGAAAAGCTATAAAAGATGTGACTGGGTATTGAACTAAAGCTTTCAGTGGAACGGGAAATATAAAATGATATAGCATTCCGCCAATTAAGAAAAATCAGATGCTAAATTAGTCGTGTTTGTTTTCTTAAATAACAAAACAAATCAAATGTTAAACTACTGAAGAAGAAGGGCGACTGGGCAACTACAACTTTCAAAACCTTCTCATTATACATTTAGGAAGAGCGTTTCCATGGAACTAGGAGTTCATCTGTGGATTTGGACAAAAAAAACAACAAATAACGTAGACAAAAAGAAAGAAGCCCAAAAACATCGAATTTTTTAGACAAACAGAAAAGAAGCAATCTCATCAAAATTTCTATTTCCAGAAACGCAACAACCAAATCTCAACCCAAAATGCCATATCCACGAAAAAGATGACACAAATCTGTTTTAACCAACCAAAACCCATGAACACAAAAAGAACAAATCCGACAATAAAAACAAAATTTGACACGAAAAGAGGGGGAAAATATATAAGTGATCTTGAGTACGAACCTGTTGACGTAAAACTGAAGCAGGAAAACCACAGAACAACCAAAATAGTACATTTTACTAGTTTGGAGATGGACCTCCTCATGGATGAGCAGACAAACTCCATTTCCATGGTAAATTCCTTTCTTTTCCTGGGTAAAACTGAAAATGGGGAATTGCAACGGGGAGAGAGAGTGGAGACCGAGGAAGAGAGAAAGAGAGAGAAGAAAGAAAAACCGTGATCACTGGCCTTTCCTTCACATCATCACATGACAGACAGAAGTGGAGACTTAAGACCACTGGAATTACTGCAAAAATTTCCCTCTAAATTCTAATTCCATTTATGTAATTACCTAATTGCCCATTCTTTGGGATTTATTTATGGAATACAACACCATATGTTGTTAAAATTACACATATGCCCTCCTTCAGGCCTCCAGACGACTTTTTTTTGGTCTCCCTCCGTCCATTCCGGTGGTGAATCTTGGAACTTGAAAGTATGTTTGATGATGTGGGTCCAACATCCAGCTCACATTGGGGCTGTAACCCATTAGCCAAGCCATGGGGGGGAAAGGGTGGGTTCAGCCAGGGTAGCGGTTATTGGCCCGAACCGCTGCCCTTCGAAAAGGCCCAAGGCCCACGGCCCAGCCCCTGTCCGTGTAAATGTAACCCATTCTACTTTCTACACGATTGCCCAAAATCAAAGGAAGTTGTTATCAGAAGAAGTTTCGAGAAGAGGAATGGGTAAAAGGGTAAAAACGGTATTTTAGCAATGAAAATCATGGCAAATGAGATGATGATGACGACGATGACGATGCGTGAGAGTGAGAAGCTTTGATTTCGAATGGCCTGGGCCTGCCCACAACAAGTGGGCCGGATCCCGTGGGCCGCCCTTATTCTTATTCCACCCATGTGTCGGTGGTGGAACTGGAAAGTGGAAAGAGACCCATCGCTCTAATAATTATAATAACCCAGGAGGCAGGAAAAGAGCTCTCGCCTCTCGTAGTTTAGTTTAGAAAAAGTCCATTGATTTTAGTTTTAGGTATTCCTTTTGTCTTTGGAATGCAAAGAAAACAGGAAAGAGAAGAGAAAGGAAGTTAGGTCTCAAGTCTCAACAGATAACCACAATTGATGAGGCAATCGTAACCGTCTGATCCTTCGCTAGTTCTGTAAGCAGCCACAAGACAAGAGAGTAGTAGCACTGTTTGATGGCTGAGATCATGAAATGGAATGGAGGGGGCCCAGACCCAGCAAATCGATGTTTTAATAAAAGAGTAGTAGGTGGGCCAGTGGGCCAGGCACAGATGAGTTGGTTTCTAAAAAAAAGAAAATTGTCAAATTTGTCTATCGCCAAACGTCATAGATTTGTGAAAACGTTGATTTATTTACTGAATTTGTTTTTCTTTCCTTTGAAAGATGGAAGGCTAACTAATGGTAATGGGTGGATGTGGACTGGTTGTGGTTGCCAGTGACAGACACAGAGGTGAACCAGCTCATTCTCCATGCTTCTGACGCGGCTTTGGCTCCAAGTCACTAATTACAACACGGACTGGACAGTTGGATTTTCCCTGGGGGGGTTCTTGGGCTAGATTTTATATGGTTGTTAACTTGTTAAGAACAAGCTAGCCATGCTTCTGCTGATGAGGTGCAAAAATCCTATTACAACCCAAAAGCTTCTTCTAGACATGCATCATTCACAGCTTTAGCCCTTAAATATATATATATATATATATATATAAATGGGGAGGCATTTGGTATGAAATGAATGTCATTCAGAGGTGTTTCTCAAGGAAAACAAGAAACTCTGAATAAACAAATTAGATGACCATTTGTCTGGACTTGTCCGTCCAGAGATATGTGTGCTTGCCAACCAGATGGTTGAATAAAAACAAAAAAAAAAAAAACGTGAAGAGGATGTTTCTTTCTTCCTCTTGTTCCCTCTTCAGTCTTCTCTTCTAATTTGTGCTTATTTTATTAATGCTCCTGAAAAGGATGCCTTGAGCGGAATGACTCAATGTGCTATTTTTTTTTTTTTCTTGCACAAGGAATGAAACAACCCTTCAACAAACTCCACTATTGGCATATGCTGACCCAGAAGGCTAAGTCAATTCGATGATGACAACCCTCTAATTCATGGAATTCTCCAGTTGATGCTCTCTCTCTCTCTCTAGAGCTAGTTAGCTGCTCAACAATGGAATGTTCATAACATTGGCAATTTGGATAATTGGATTTGTGAGGATTTTGGACTCCAATCCATCAATGGATGAACATTTTTTTTTTTTTTATCAATAATACTTTCATTAACTCATCAAAAGAAGATTTACAATAGGAAGACAAACACGCTTATCTTCCAAGAGCAACAAAGAATCTCAAGAAAAGAAAAAAAAGAAAGAAAACACACTATARCTACAGCTTAGCCCAAAAAAGTGAATTCCTTTCTACCCCTTGTTTAGCTAAACCGTCAACTAGGGAATTAGCCGATCTTTTAACCCAAAGTATCTTAACTTCCATCTCCCGCACCAGCCACTTGAATTTCCTCCTCTCATTATTGTACTTCCATAAGCCATTGTGATCTTTAATCAGCCACCCTATCACCACCTCTGAATCCCCTTCAATTAAGAGTTTCCTGATGTTCAACTCCTTAGCTTTCTATGCCCCTTCCATAACTGCAAAGATCTCAGCTCTAAGGGAGTCATCCACTCCAATTGGGCCTGAGAACATAGCAAAATGATGCAACAGTTCTGCTAAATATGATCGTTTATCATCATTCCAAATCAATCAATGAATGATTAATGTTTGAATATGGGTTTAGGGAATCTGATTTCATAACAGAAGGAAGCTGCTTTAAAAAGATTACTTCGATGAACCACATAATCATGATTAGTTTACACATCAAATTTCATATCAAAATTGAGCATATTGCATATCGTCTTTTAGCCGATTCAGTAATTCCCAACCAAGACGGAGAGTCTAGTCTTCTGCTTTCAAATCTGTCAGTCTCCTATTCAACTCCTCAGAAAATATCATGCTTCAGCTCCTATGCTTTATTCCCTGCTTCTGGGAGCTTTAGAGACATCTCCAACCCATATTCATCAGCCACTTGCTGCATCATGATTCTTGCTTCAACTCTGTCTACCCCTTCAGTTTTGGTTTGTAATATAAACATGAAGGTACAAGAAGCAGTAACTTTAGAAACCAGGGAAAATACCGAAGCAAGTTGTCGTAGAAAACTCAAAAACTAGCTATTGGGTTACACCGATGACAGTTTTAATGTCCACCGTGAATTGAAAGGGAGGACTCAAGAGGAGACAAAGTGAATTCGACGAGCAAATCCCATGTTAATTTGTATAGCACACAGCAGATCACTAATGCCGCAGTTGTTTTCAAGGTATAAGAAATAGATGGCTAATTTAATTTTTAATCTCGACGCACATCTCAATGTTCTTTATTATAGTAATCCTCCTCCAATACCAAGACTTGATCGCTTAGACGAGAAGGGAAGTATTGACCAGGAAGGATCTGAATGAAGTATAACAGAAAAAGAAGCTTACAGTAAACTCGGTTCGAAGTCATACAACCAAAAGAAAGTGACATAACCCAAGGTGGTTTAGTTACAATTTTTCAAGGTATGCAAAGCAAAGAGAGAGAAAGGAAGAGACCCATCTCATCAGAGATGCAGAAACAGACCAGCTCCAAGTCCTCCAAATCCTTCCGAGGCTTCCTGCCCGTACTGTTATATCCTCTTCTCTTCTTCACCCTCCTCACAGTGATCACTGTTAGTTCCAAAGTCTCCTACCCTTACTTCACCTTCTCCACCACCAACGCTAATGCCACCACCCGAGACCATATTGTTTTACCTTACTCCATCCACAGCCAGATCTCTCGTCTGCAAACCCAGCTGGGATCTTTGTTAGAGCAACTACATACTGAAAATCCACAGTCAAAGGCCGTGACCAAATTTGCCGATCAAGTACTTGGCATTGCTGTATCCTTGGACAAGCTTGTGGGTAGTCTATCAGGACAGTATAGAGAACCCCTGGCTGATGAGAAGGAGATGAGCACTGTCACTGTGGATGAAAGTTTCAGTGAAGGTGAGGCAGATGAAGATGAAGCCGAAGAAAGATCAGTGAGATTAAAGATGTTCCAGTCCAGTGAGCTTCGAGGGTATACTTCTCCCAAGCCCAACAGGCAGAGTGGGAAGAAAAACTTCCTTGGAGTAGAAGCAGTGTATCCATCAGTTGGTCTGGCATGTGCTGGTGTTGCATCAAATATAGACCGCTTCATGACCTACAAGGCCTTCAGTATGTGCCCAGATGACTGGGTTGTGGCTCAAAAGCTCACGGTGGCAGGGTGCGAACCTCTACCAAGAAGGAGATGCTTCACAAAATCGCCTCCAGGATATGGTAAGCCATTCCCTCTGAACTCCTCTCTTTGGACTCTGCCTAGTGATTCCAACATCTTGTGGACTCACTACAAGTGCAAAGACTACTCCTGCCTGGTTTCCAACAACACAGTTGGCAAAAGAGGCTTCTTCAAATGTGCCGACTGCTTTGACCTCTCCAAACGAGGCTGGGAGGTCCCTGCAAACCAGACCACTTCAGCAGAATTCACAGTTGATGAAGTTCTAAGGTTGAAACCTGGGGAGATCCGTATAGGACTGGATTTCAGCCCCACAACTGGGACATTTGCAGCAATAATGAAGGAGAAGAATGTAACCATTGCATCAGCTACGCTGAATCTTGGAGCCCCCTTCAATGAAGTCATTGCATTGAGAGGCCTCCTCCCTCTCTACATTTCAATTGGCTCAAGACTGCCTTTCTTTGACAACACCTTGGATATCATCCACTCCACCCTTTTCTTAGATGGGTGGATAGGACTCGACCTCCTCCAATATGTTCTGTTGGACTGGGACCGAGTCCTCCGCCCAAAAGGGCTACTTTGGGTGGATCGCTTCTTTTGCAGCAAGGAAGACATGAAAGTGTACTTGGATGCATTCTCTAAACTAGGCTACAAAAAGCTACTGTGGAGAGTAGTACCCAAGATGGATAAGATGGAGGATGAACTCTTTTTCTCTGCTGTATTGGAGAAGCCATTGAGAGGTTGAACTTGACTCAATAAACCAATGAAATGTCGTGTAAATAAATGAATAACAGTTACAATTCCTTTCATATATATGATTCTGGGTTGATTTCTATCTAGCAAGGATTTCTGATAAACTACCTATGCCATGCTAAAGGGTCTCTAGCACATTTTGGAGAAACTTATCCAAGATGAGATGAGATGCATTTCAACGTAATTTCTTCCTTCATCTGTTCATTTTACTAGGTGAATCCAAATCTTTTTCATTTCCCTAACGAATTTCCTTCTAGAATTGAATCAACCTGCCAATCCCACAGGAAACAAAGCCAACCTCTGTTGGTGAATGCTTAAGCCATCAAGGTGAACGAATATGATCTGATGGCTATCTTAAAGTCGCTTTTAATCCTCTATTTCTCACAAATCAGACGGAATGCAGTTATAATGGCCCACTTTAACCAGGTATCCGGATTTGTCCTCACAACTTTTCCAGTCGTGCATTAGGACATCTTCCCATGAATAAAAATATGCAATTACAGAGATGTTCCCAATGCATGGCTGAATGTGCTGTATAGTGTGAGGACCAATTTTATGAGGATTAAATAAATCCCAATTCCAATTGCAGCATTATCAAGACCAAGAGACGCATGGCACTTGGCACCCTATTATCAAAGAGTGATTAACATACATTTTATCAGTTCCCTTTGCCTCTTTTCTTAGATATCGGATTTGATCATCACAAAGCACAACTCACACCAACCTCCCACGGCATCACAGTCATGCATTAAAAACATCTTCCATATTTGATGTTATCATTCATGGAAAGATATAAATATTTCCAATGCACAGCTGCGATGTCAAATGAGGTTGGTGTGAGACACCCTCCGTGAGGAGCAAACCTGAATTCCTTTTCTTACTGAGAGTAAACGCAAACGGCTTCAACCCTGAACCTTAATTGGTTAAGAAAGCTACAGTTTGTACCTTTCCAACTTTAAAAGTCCTTTAATCTCGAGCAAATCTCCCCTACATTTAACGCTGGTTAAGGCATTAGTTAAAAGTTAAATGCTTCTCCATAAACCCTCTAAAAAGATTTTCAAAGAGCATTTCTCCGTTGTAATAGCATTGTTTGAGCTCAAAGCCCCAAACATCCTCTGATTACAAGATGAGCATCATTAGATTATTATTCCAGCTGAGGGGTGGGTAAGCTCTGAATTAAACTCAATGAAAGCCATTTTACCTGCATGTTTAGTTCCAATGCAAAGCCAGCCTTGCTGTCGAATTCTTCACACCCTTTAGGCCTTTGTATAAAGTTACAATTAGAAAAAGCATTACTGGTACAACTGCATTCCTCACAGTTAAATCTCTTCTGAGATATAGTTCGAACTTCTAAGCTTTAAAAAATATCTCGCAGGGAATAACCAATACTGCTTTTCGAACTTATTACATATACGTATGGAAACGCTTTCATAATCATGTTCTGGCTCGATGTAACGACAGCTTGAAAAATAAAAAAGCAAGATTTTTTTTTTTAATGTAAAAGATACAATGAAAGCAAACATTATTAGATGAATCAAAAGCCCTTGCCTGCGGATACACTATTACAGCCTCAAATTAGAACCATTTTATCCAAATTGCATGGAAATAATAGGAATTTGACTAAAAAAATATGGGTGGGTCTAACATGTCCAACTTAACTACCATTGGCCATGCTGATTCTGCATTTGAAATATCAACAAGGACTACGCAAGCAGTGTGCAGTGCCACCTTGGCTGGGTCTAGAATAACCCAACAGGCATCTTGTGTAACCCATAGGCTCTATCTCAAATAATGTGATGATGAAACTTCAAACCAATGACAAATGACCTGAATCTTCGCAGTTAATGCAGGAATAATCAATGGTCCTGCTGCCACCCGTAGCATCAGAACTACTCTTCTTTTAAACACAAGCGCTCTGGAAACAGCAAAGGTTAGCAACACATGGTTTAGACCAAGCTTGACAATTTACTATAATGGAATCATAATAATCTAGGATACCCAATATTCAGTTACAAATAGAGATCAGGTGCTCACAAAATTGGTCCTCACAACACTTGCAGYCATGCATTGGGAACATCTCCATACTCGTATGTTTTCATGGAAGATAATTCCCCATGCACGGTTGAAGTGTTGTAAGGTAGGTGTGAGGACCAATTTTGTGAGGATGAAATCCGGATTCTTACAAATACCAGTTGAGCACTTTGGACCACAAGCAATATCACCAGAGCTATTAGATGGTTCCCAATATCAAAAGTATCCCCAGACAGCTTTCTGACCATCTAAGAACTAGCATTACTCGATGGCTAGAAGAATACATTGGAAAATAATCTAGTGAAGAAATTCGAATTCTGCTAATATCATCCTTAAGGCTGTGTTTGGTTTGAAAGAAAATGTAGGGAAAGGAAGGGAAAGGCAGGGAATCCTTAACAAACCCTGTATAGGTTTTCCTACTTTTTCTTTCAAATCAAACACTGCCAATAAAGACCCTATTGAATTTAAATCGATGTCCTGGATCTAGAAAGTATTTGATCACAAACAACTAGACAAGGGAGACGGGTGGAGCCTTGGGGGGGAGGGGGGGGATCATGACCTCACAGTTCTGATAAATCCTTTTATATTTAAGGAATGATAGGACATGGTCCTCCCTCATCAAATCCTGGATATGCCACTGAAGGCATCAGCCTATGGGCACAACGATGATATAATAAAAGAACAATAACAATAACAATGATATGATGAGTGGAAATGGTGAAGAAAAGGAATAGTCCCCTACTTAGATATTCATATGCTAATATCATTGAGGTCCCCCATGCTGACATACTGAAAAACCTTGGACCCAGCCCCCTGTATAAACCTTTCCATCCATCATCTGCAATCAATCTTTTGACAACTTTTGTTGCAGTTTCCCTCCTTTCATGTCCCATAACCTGTAATGAAGAAACAATACATCATGAAAGGAACAACTTCTGCCCATAGCATAATGAAGGAAAAGAGACAATAATACACATCCTTTTTTTATTTTTGACCAAAAACATATTGAAAGGCATACTTTCCAAAAATAAGGAACAATATGTGAAGTTATCAAAGAGAACATACAGTATGCAAATAAAACAGGTAATCAAAAAGTACAGGGTCAAAAATATGGGTTAGCTGATTTTCTAATATACATTTAATAAGATACAAACTTAAGTTATATTTATAAATATACATGCATCTAATGGATTACACATACATTTATATGTAAAACATGCCAAATTTTCATTCTGTATCTTTCATAAGAAAAGCTTTAAAGGTGTATTCATTTTTTGCCAACCTTTTTACTGCACCACTTGTTTACCAAAGCCCTAATAATATATTTAATTGTTGAAACTGAGCTACAAAAGAAGTTTCCTGTATTGTACTTACACCATACACTTCACTCTGCCAGAAAATTAACAATGTGAAATCAACTATTTGTAGCAAAGTYTAGAAAACCTACTAAACCTATTTGGTGACCTGTATTCAAATAAAACAAGTAGTTCTATTAATGGATCTAATAAAACAAGTTGAAGGGATAATCCAAAGCTTCATACTCAATAAACCTTAAGCATGTTTCATAAACATCATATTTGATGGAGGATCAAAGTCTGTTGCAAAAAATAGGATCCTACTGTCAGCTCCGTGTCAGTCAAGAGCCCTAATGTAAGAACTGTATCATGTATGAAGTTTCTGGTGGATGCAGCTGTATTAAATCCAGCTAGCCCCTTTTGCTGTCAAGATTTGCAAGTCTTTTCTTTTCTTTTGGAAACTTAAAAGAAAATAAAATCGGCCTTTAGCTATGAATTGATAATAATCTTAGTTGCCAAGTTTGTTATTAAGTTGTCTTATAGGTTATTTCCTATCTTGAGTTTAGTTAGGAGTATTAGATCTTAGGAAAATATTTTAAGGGTTTAGAAGATCTTAGAAGATATTCTATTTCCTTTTGTCATAATAAGCATACCCTATGAGCCTTCTGACTATTTCAAGTATTGGATGAAGCAAAGATGGTGGGAGTAGGAGAGGACAAGAGGAAATGGCTCTTCGAGAAATCAGGCACCTTCTCTGTGAAATCCTTCTCCCATAGCTTGTCTAGGGAGGAGCCTTCTGACTTCCCAAGTCTGGATCAGATCTGTTCCCTCTAAGCTGGCTTTCTTTGTTTGGTCAGCAGTGCTGGATAAGATTTTAACAAAAGATAATTTAGTTAGAAGAGGTTTAGAGGTGGAGGACCTGGGCTACATCTTATGTAGTGGAATTGTGGAATCCTCTAATCATTTGCCGGTTCACTGTAACTTTACCCATTGGATTGGATGAGAGTGCTGAATCTATTTGAGGTTAAGATGTGCTTCTCGGCTGATGTGAAAGGATTGATAGCAGCTTGGACACTTGGAGGTTTATCCAGGGCTGGAAAGGTAGCATGGAATATCCTTCCTGCAGCAGTTTTTTGGGCAGTATGGGTTGAAAGAAATAACAGGTTATTTGAAGGAAGACAAACTCCAAAAGAAGAAGTTTCTATCAGAATTTTGGGGATGATACACTCTTGGTTGGCAGCTAATCAGCTATTCAAAAATAGGCATATGTCTTCCTTTTTTTTATTCAGACTTCCTATTTGTACAGAGACTTCTTTGTAATTTGGCTTTTGATCTTAATGAATTACTTTACCTTGCACTCAAAAAACAATAATAAGCATACCCTATGAACTAATAAATAGGGTGATGCAGGAGCTGAAGAGGCAAAATTGGAATTTTATGAAATTTTATGTATTTCTGTATTTTTTGAACAATAGGGGTACTTTTGTCATTTTGCAATTTTCTGTGGGCTCCAGTGGTAGGGTTTAATTTGTCTAGTTATAGTTTGTTTACGTTTAAAATTTCAGAGTCATTGCATAAGTAGGATTAGAGTTATTCAGTCTTCTTTGAATTGAAATATGATGACAACTTAGTTTGAGTCCTACTGGGATTATTGAGTCTAACGAGTATAACAGTTTGACTCCTAAGACTATTATGAGTCTAACAGTTTGACTCCTAGGATTATTATGAGTTTAGAGTCTATAAATATGTACGAACGTTTTACACAAAGGCAATGAATTATATTGAGGGTATGTTTGGTTTGCAGGAATAGGGGTCTGGAATCGGAATCAGAATGGTCCATTCCGATTCCAGGTGTTTGGTTGGGCAGAATCGGAATCCGATTCCCATTCCGCGCAGAATGGCAATCCCCCATTTGAGGGAATGACCATTCCCAACCCAGAACCAGAATCCATTCCCGCTATTTAATATAAGAAAAAACCAAAATGACAAAATAAAAACCCTCAAATCTCTCTCTGCTTGAATCCAACTTTCTAACCCTCACTCCCCCTTCTCTCTCGTCACTCCCTCCACCAGCAGAAGTTCGAAGTACTGATCTGAACCGAAACTCCGGCAACGGTGTCGACAAGGTAAATCACCGTTATTCTTTTTCTCTCCTCTTTCCTATTCTTCATCTTCTTCCTCCTCTCCTCTCTCTCACTTTACTTTTTTCATTCCTCTCTAGTTTTTCCGCTGCAGACTAGACCAGACCAAACCACAATAAGGTATGCTTTCGTCGATTTTCCTGTCTGAAATGCATGTTAAATTTGGTTGTTTCTACTTGACCTCGAAATGCATGTTAAATTTAGCATCTCTTCTTTCAAATATTTAAATGTGTTTTTATTTTTTTCCCAATTTCAGTTTGGAATGCATCCTTATGTGATTAGAGTTATTTGGTTGTTAGTTCAGTTTGGAATGCATCCTTATGGTGTTTGTAGCTGATAAGTCTGAAAGATCTCTATCAAGTTGATTAGAGTACAATAACATTCTAATCTAATTTCAAATTAGATAGAAGTCTGATTAAACATGAATAGTGACAATAGAAAGCAAGAGTTTGAAATCAACAAATCAGAAACAATAGCAAGAGTTTTATAAACCAAATCTCATGTACTAGAGTCCAGTAATGAGCTTTCTTCAGAGAAAAAATCAAAGGAAAAAAAAAAGAAAAAGAAATTAGAACCTTTTAGACTATGCTCATGCTGTGCATTGCCAATGGCAAGCAAGCACAGATTGGAGGGGATCATGTCAAATTGGGTGTTGGTTGAAAAACTTCTGCCAAATCCCTTCATATGTGCTGATTTGGAGTTTGAAATCCAAGCAAAGTCAGTAGTCTTATGTTGCCAATCCTAAACAGTTGTTAGAAGGTACTAGTGAGAATGACAAGAAAGATGACCAGCAGTCATCTGAGAGAAATACAAAATAAGAACAAGAAAAAAGAAAAAAAAAAAAAAACATTATCACCCACTTGCACCTCCACGCTTTATCTCAGCACACACCAACAACCAATTATATGAACCATTTGAAAGCAAAACCCAAACTCCACTCCAAATCCCAGCATTATAACATTCGTTCAAATTTTGTTAGTAGTTATTACATCCATCAACAAGGTTGAAATTGATACAACCAATAGATGAATAGTTGATTCTTACCACAAACCAGCAGCTTGGGAGTTGGGTCAAATTACAGATAGTGAGTATCTGAGTGATAATGTTTCTTTGCATGCATTAAAGCCCAAATCAGCTCAGTTCAGATCACAGAAGTTAATTGAGCCTTCAACCAACAAAGGTGATCAGTTTCTTTTGTGCCTCTCCAGTATTTTGAGGATGGTAGGTTCCTTAGAACTAGTGTTTATAGATTCAAGATGTTGAATGTTGAACATGCGAAGAGCGTTTGTGCCATCAAAGATCTAGACATCCCCATGATTTCCAATTATTGTGGTGCTTTGATGCGATGGATCACCTTATTTGCTGTAAATTTTCATTTGAGGGCCTGTGCTTTCAACCCACTACAGTGTGGTGGGAGGATTACTTGGATGAAAGTGTTTCCATGTTTTCAGACATTTCTGCCAAGGCTTATATTGCTTTCTTGGCATTGGGAGTTCTCTCAACTTAAGGCAAAAATAGAGGGGCAGGACAAGAGGTAGAAATTCAAATTTTGTATCAGGTAGGAAGGGATGCAAATTTTAAAGTTGTCATGACAATCATGATTAGGCAGCACGAACCACAAATTTTTGGATCAATTGCTCTTGAGCCTTGGATTTTTCTGACCAATCCTCTAAACCAACCCAAGCCTAACTAACCAACTCCGGTTCCAAGGCTTCAACCTAAAACAAAACCAAATCTAATCAGCTTGTAGTGGTTATAGTGATTTTACCTGAAACTTGAGTTTACTTGGCTTAGCAGGGATTATCTAGATTGCTTCCTTCCCTCTACCAAAATTCTCATATATGCACATGTCTAAAGACAATAAATCAACATTGTTTGAGATTTTTTTATCAGTAAATCAACATAGTTGATATAAGAGACACTCAAGAAACGTTAGATCAAAATGAGTGTCTGTAGTTTTCAGAATAAAGCATTTCTAATAGAAAACCAAGCTAGGCTCTTCCTCTCTTGAGAGGCTCCTCTGTGCTTGGTTCAAATTCCAGTCTTTTACATTTTCTCCACTTCCACCTGTATGGTTTTACTTTCCACCAATGGGTCCTCTAATTGATAGAACCTCACAAATTGACAGGTGTCAATCGAAACATACTTAAATTTTGATTCAATTTCTGTATAAATGTTTGTGTCATATTTCTTATCAGGTTTCTTCATATTGTTGGTGCAACTGAATTAATAAAAAATGCTACTGCAATTAAAGATCAGATGTTGCAGCTAGAGAAAGCCAAAAAGTTTCACATTTCCTTGTATTCACAGGTAAGAACTTGTACCTTCTTTGCCAACTGAAACCTAGCCTCTTTTTTATTCATCAGAATGTAAGTGCATTTACCATTACAGGCCTGATGTTCCTCATATCCAAGCAACAGTTATTTGTTCTAGAAAAGTAAGCCTGCAACTTAGAGTCCAAAGTGGTGGCCACGACTACAAGGGACTTTCATATGTATCTGATGTTCCATTCGTCATTGTTGACCTGCTAAATTTTCGATCTATTGACGTTGATATAGAAGATAACAGTGCATGGATTCAAGCTGGATCAGTTCTTGGGGATGTTTATTATAGAGTTGCAGAGATTTTTTTTGTTTATGTATTTTTCTTTTCATTTTTTTATGGTGGAGAATGATTTTTTTTGTGATTTTTGTTTGTTTATGTGTTTTTCTTTTCATTTTTTTCATATTTTCTCCATATATGCACTTGTTAGCAGGTTGCCAATGCATGCATATGTTGAAAATATATGAGTGGCTGTTTTTGAGGTTTTTTTAACAAGGGCATAATTGGAAATTTTTGCTGATTCCGATTCAAGCTTCTAGTTGAACCAAACAGTAACAATTGGAATCCGATTCCGATTCTTGACTGAACCAAACAGGTGCCGGGATTAGGTGATTCCGATTCCGGTCCTGTCCACAAACCAAACGCACCCTGAGTTTTCTTTAGCTTATGCTAGCTATGGTGAGTGATTCCCATACCCTAGAGTGATTCTAGGCACCCTGTGAGTGATTCTAGGTGTTTCCTCTCTTCTTTCTCTCCCTATTTCTCTCTTAATTCCTTCAAGAAGCCATTACAGCCATCAACAACTATAAAATTCTGATCCAAGAAGACCATTCAACATTCTCTAAGGACTAGAACTGAACTGGCCCTACATCAGTCATCAGATATGCTTACCTTTTGCAAAATCATGTAATTAGTTTGCAGACTATTTGACTAACAAGCTAGAAGAAAATCTTGTCAAGCTTGGCATGTATGATATCTATGCCTAGCTTGAGGAGGAGTGTTATGTGAGTAGTCTATTTGGTTTAGGGTATTATTGTCCTTTTATATGTTTCTTGTATTAAGGGGTCTAAATGTAATTTATGCACTCTAGTATAAATACAAATGAAAAGGGGAATATCCCCTAATCTTTTTTTGGCCCAAATCCTCCTCTCATGAATGTTTCCTCTTCTCTCTCTTTTCTTTCTTTCTTTTCTTTCCTCCTTTTCCTTCATCCATTCTCCTGTACATATTCTATATCATTTACCATTTTGAAACTTGTAATCTAGATAAATAGCATTTTTTGTGCTACATGTATCCAATGTATTTTCAGATCTGATCTGGTTTTTTGACATTCAGCTTAATAAACAAGCCAATGCCAAATGAAGGGTTCGAGATATTAGTATAAATTAAGGGTTTATGATGGTAGAGTTCATCTTGACGGACYAACTAATAGCAATTGCAACACTAAGAAAAGAAAAAGTCTGGGCATACCTGTAACCGGGTCTTTATGGTGTCCAAAGGGGTAGTGATGCAGGAGGCCATAGCACCTGCTACAATCCCTCCGGTAGCCTGAACACAAACAATTGACCACTGGCTAGGGATGGATTCCTTCTGTTCATTACCATAACCTAGGAGTCTGCCCAAAAGAATAAGGGTGAATGCTCTTAAGATGGCAATATGACATATTAATGAGAACCAAACACAAATTTTGTAATAAAAGACTATATTGAAAACTACATTATCCTAACACTTGAACATGAGAACCAACCACGTTATAAAAGGGCAAATATGATGGACCTGACACTTATAATCTTGATTCCTAAACTGCCCATACAAGAAATGGTACTCACTAAATAAAACATTTCATGAGGGACCTGACACTTCTAACCTCCCTAAGTTTTTTCTTTTATTTTTTTGAAAGGTAAAAGATGTAATTGTATTGATAAAGGGAAGAACTCTGATAGACACAAAAGAATCCCCTTAAGATAATAGGGGACTGAGCAGTATGTGTTATACGATGAAAAGATGATCAGTATGAGCTTTTCAGATCATATACAAGAAGCTCTCAAAAAGGAGGGAGCCCAACTATTTGCCTCCAGTGGTCGCAAATATGAGTGGTGTAATCTTGGTTATGTACCGCAAGGGCACTTTTGTCTTTTCATCTTTGTTTATTATTGTATGGTCGCCCTAACGTATAAATAGAAGGACTGGCACCGCCAGCCCAGATTTTCTTCGGACTCCAATCTTCTCTTCTCCCTTCCTCTTCTCCTTCCTTCACTGTTCTTTTCTGATTGAAATCATGGTATCAGAGTGGGACAGTGCTCTGTAAAAGTATTCTTGTCTGATTGAAGCTATTCCAATCGCATATCTGGACTGTGAATGAGGAAGACAAGTTTGACCTTGCCCTGAGAACTGTTCGGTTGACCCTGTTCCATTATCTTTAAACAGAAACTTGGAAATACCACTTTCAGAGAACACCAGATGATTGACTGAGGTCTTCTTAGAGGTCGGTGGTTGTTTTTCTTCTTCTCTGGACTGTAATTTCCAGAAGTCAGTCGAACTGATCAGAAACATAGACTGAAGTGTTCTTATTATTGGTTCTTGGTACTGTTACCAACAACATACTAAAATCTGCCTTAGCCGAATGGTGTAGGCCTGTTGAGTTGCTTCCTGTGGGTCGGTGATCCAAATCTGTGTGGCTGAAGAACCTATGTAGGTCATGTGTGACCTGGTTTAGATGGAAAGGTACAACAGAAGAGCTGTAGATGTTATGTGTGGCTTAAACTAGCCTTTGTGAGGTTGGTTAGACCTGTGAATTTGTGACAGCAGGTGCTGTATATGTTATATGTGGCTTAACCTAGCCCTTGTGAGGTCAGTTAGACCTTACCTGTGAACCTGTGACAGCAGGCACTGTGTTACTGTGTTTACAGTTTTTTTAAACCTTACAGTGAGGGCTGTGTGTTTTTTGAGTGTGTGGACTGTGGGAGAAGAGTTGTAGGTCTGAAACTTCTGATAGCAGACTCTGTTATGGCCTCTGAGGAGTGAGGACTCTGCAACTTCTAGAACCTCTTTCAATCAAGGATGAATGAACAGTAGTCATTACTCTGACTTTCCCAACAACTATTACTCCCTTAGATGGCAGAAATTATTTGACATGGTCTAAGGAGATGTGGCTGTACATCACAGCCCAAGGTAAGGCAGGGTATATCAATGGAAAAGTGAAGGAGTCTAGGGCTGGTACTGCTGAATATGATAAGTGGGACCAAGAGAACTGCATGATTATGTCATGGCTTTTTACTACTATGCTACCATCGGTTAAGAAGAATTTTATGTGGGCTGAGACAGCCAAGGAAATATGGGAACAAGCAAAGTCAACTTACTCCGAGCAGAGGCACTATGCTAGAATCTATCAATTGCAAGCCGAGTCTGCAACATGTAAACAAGCGGAAAGAAGCTTATCCACCTACTATTCTTCCCTCACATCTATCTAGAAAGAGTCAAATTACTATCAAAACATTTATTGGGAGAGTGAGAAGGATGCCAAAGCTAAGAAACAGTTAGTTTCAGAGCAGCATGTGTTTACTTTTTTGTTGGGGCTTAATCCCATGTATGAACCCACTCAGGTTTAGATTTTGGGCTACAAGGATCTTCCGACTATTTAAGAGGTGTATGCACTGGTTCAATCTGAAGAGAGTAGAAAATCTGCCATGAATCCCCCTGAGGGGGAGGCCATTGCTTTACCCGTAAGAGGTAATACCAATTCAGCAAGAAAGGGAGATGGTCAGAAAAGGGTTGATGATAAAGATAAACTGTGGTGCACTCATTGTCAGAAATCCCGACACACACGAGAGACATGTTGGGAATTGCATGGAAAGCCGAAGTGGGCAGAAGACCCAAGTAAGAAATCAGCACAAGAACAAACAAGAAACCAAATCAGAAGTTCACCTCGGCTAACTTGGCCTCTCATGAGCCACAGAGTGGATGTACTATTGTGAACTCCCAAGATTTCCCCCCTAGTTTTGATCTCAAGGAAAATATTAGCAATGCCTTCCGTGACCATTTGGAGCAATATGGTAAGGCTCTCACGCAAGCAGATTCTAGACCCACTCCTTCAACCTCTTTTGCTTCCTCCTCAGGTAACTTAGCTTATGTATTCCATGTGTCTACTGATACTTCTTAATCTCCATGGACTATTGATTTTGGTGTTTCCAATCACATGACTGGTAAGTCAACATTTTTTCAATCATACACCCTTCTTTCTAGCAGAGATAAAGTGAGGTTAACTGATGAATCCTTCTCCTCCATTGCTAGTCGAGGATCTATATCTTTGCCATTTGGCCCACCTCTGTCAAATGTTTTACATGTTCCAAAGCTGCCTATTAATTTGTTACCTATTACCAGCATTACACAATTGCTCAGTAACCTCTTTCCTCAATCTTGTGTCTTTCAGGACTTGGCCTCCGGGAGGACGATTGGTAAAGGGAACATGGTAAATGGTCTCTATGTGCTGGAGAATAAAGTTAGTCTTGCGGCCTCAGAGTCTGAGTCAGTCAAATAAGAGTTAGGTTACTTTATGGCACAATTGTTTGGGTCATATGTTTGAGTCTTGGAAGCACTTGTTTCCAAAATTGTTTAAGTCAGTGTCAATAAATGATTTTCAGTGTCAAGTGTGTCAGCTAAGCAAGCACTGTAGAACTTCATTTCCTTTACATAATGAAAGATCAAAAGTTCCTTTTTCCATTGTGTATTCCAATGTTTGGGGACCTGTAAATATTCCAACGGAGAATGGCTACAAATATTTCATATCTTTCATTGATGACTTCTCTCGATATACATGGGTTTACCCTATGCACTCTTGAGAAGAAGTCCCTAAACTTGTGAAAGCTTTTCAACTTATGGTATACACACAATTTCAGACAGAGATTCAAATTTTCCAATCAAACAATGCCAAAGAGTATTTTCATGGTGCCCTCACATAATTTTTTTAAACTTGCAGCTCTCTTCATTGTAGCTCTTGTGCTAGAACCCCTCAACAGAATAAGGTTGCAGAGAAAAAAAATCTTCATCTTCTAGAGGTTGCTCAGGGGTTCCTGATACACATGAATGTTCCCAAAAGGTTATGGGTGGATGTTGTTATGACTACGGCTTATGTTATCAACCGGATGCCATCTCGTCTTTTGGAGTACATGTCCCCTCATCAGCTCATCTTCCCTACAGCTCCATTGTTTCCTATCCCTATGCGTGTCTTTGGGTGCAAGTGTTTTGTCCATGATTTGTCCCCTACGCATGGTGAGCTGGACCCCAAAGCCATTGTGTTTTCCTTGGATACCCTCTCTCCCAAAAGGGTTATCGTTGCTTTGACCCCATTTCCAAAAAGTACTTTGTATCCATGGATGTTTCCTTCTTTGAAGATGTTACTTTCTTTTCTGCTTCTCCTCAGGGGGAGATTTCAAGTGAGGAGAAACAAAAACAGGTTTTGTTGCCTTCTCCTGACCCTCCTCCATTTCAGGTCTTTCGTAGACAACGGTACAAAAGCCAAGGCCAGGGTCAACAAAGTTCAATAGACACARAGAATCCTAAAGTTGTGCAACCTATGCCATCGGATTCTCAGGGATTGAATCCATCACCACATTCAGGTACTATTATTCAGTTGATATTCCTGAACCCATTGATATTGACACTTCCAATTGTGATCTRGATCTTCCTATTGCTAAGAGGAAGGGTGTCAGATCATGTACCACCCACCACCCAATGGCTCATTCCTTATCCTATGAGATTTTTATTTTATTTTATTTTATTTTATTTTTTATTTTTTGATAGGAAATGGTAACTTTCATTAGAGAATTGAAAAGATTACAAGCTTACCACCCACAAAATGGATGGAAAAGAAAAAACAAAAGACTTACAAACGGGCCCAAAACAAAGCCTCCCTAGTAACTCCTTGCTTAGCTAAAGTGTCAGCCATTCCATTTGCTGACCTTCTTACCCATTTAAAATGCACTCCAATCTCCCCAGTGTTTTAAAAGCACAAGGCGCAAAAAAGGCGCAAGGGCCATTTTGCACCTAAGGCGCAAGGCAAGCACCTTTTTGAGGCAAGGCACACAATTTAAAAAATAAAAATAAAAAATTATAAAACATAATATTAATAAAAATATTAACTTAAGTTTTAAAATAAATGTTTCAAAAAACCTATTATCTAAAATTAAAATACATAAATATAATATGTAAAGCATATTCAAATGAGAATTTAAAAATAAAATCAAACATATAAAACATT